TTGGAGTTGTTTGCATCATGTTTGTATCATGTTTCCTTCCTGCCATGCCTTTTGGTTTGCTTTTCACAAGTTTTTATAACTTGCCATCTATTTGATTTCTATGGGAAAGGATCTTAGCTAGTTTGTAGGGTTTTTTTCTTTGTATCTCATGCCTGTAATTTTCTCCTTCCTTTGTTGTGAAAAGTAAGCTGGCTCCAGCTTTTTTAATAGCCCTACTTGACAAAGGATGGGGGCTGTTTTCCTAGAAGAGGGGGGAATGTAACTTCCAACAATAATAAGAGACTGACAACAACGGTGAGCAGGCAGTGGCATTAATTAAAGGTGAAATCTTAGTCACAGCATGGAGAGGAAAGGAAAAATGGCCGGTTAATCTCTTGATAATGATAATAATAATAAAAAATGCCAAAGGTGTTGAAGTTGGTGTCATTAAAAACATAGTATATGAGACAGGAAGAATAAATAGAATTAATTAGGGGTCATTGAATTGACTGCATGGAAGTTGTAAACTCTCCTATAGAAATAATCCTGCCAATGGAGGCTTTTCATGCAGGAAATTCCTGGTGGGTTTAATGCAATGATTCTCAAACTTGGCGACTTTAAGATGGGTGGACTTCAATTCCCAGAATTCCCCCTTTATGCTCCCCCTCCAAAAAATGCCTACATCTCCTAGTCATAAGGAGCCCTGGTGGCACAAAGGTTAGAAGGCAAAATTGCAGGGAAATTGGAGTTTGATCCTTGATTGGCTCAAGGTTGACTCAGTCTTCCATCCTTCCAAGGTTGGTAAAATGAAGACCCAGAGTGTTGAGGGTAATATGCTGACTCTGTAAACCACTTAGAGAGGGCTGGAAAGCACTGTGAAGCAGTATATAAGTCTAAGTGCTATTGCTACCTATCTTCCTTCCTTCCTTCCTTCCTTTCCTTCCTTCCTTCCTCCCTCCCTCCCTCCCTCCCTCCCTCCCTTCCTTCCCAATAGTTAGAATGCAGTATTGCAGGTTAATTCTGCCCACAGCCAAAAGTTCGATCCTAACCAGCTCAAGGTTGATTCTGCTTTCCATCCTTCCAAGGTCAGTAAGATGAGGGCCCAGATTTTGGGGGGAAATATACTGACTCTGTAAACCACTTAGAGAGGGCTGGATAGCATTAGGGGGCAGTATATAAGTTGAAGTATTATTGCTAGAAGAACATCTGGAAGCTTCAGTTGGGGTAGATATAAAAGAAGGACTAACAGACTAAAAAGCAGAGTGGGGAGAAGAATTAAATACAGCAGTCTGAATTTCTTGAAAGAGAAGTAGAAGACAACCTATCTTGAATATGTTTATCTGGATAAAGCTGGTGAAATCAAAAGCAGACATCAGCCAAGCAATATTAAGAGGAGAACTGATTTCTAGTTAAGATGGCAATTAATCCCACTTATATTCTCCTGCCAAGCTTTGCTTCAGCTCATCTCATTCCAGTGTCTTTACTTCTTTTGTTATTGCAGGAAAGCTTTAGCACGGAGGGTATTTTTAGCACATGGAATGGATTAAATATTCCACTTTATCAATAGGCAGCCTCTGCATGGATGCTCAGGTAGTTAAACTGTTTACCCAGAATGTAGGAAATAGCCTTGCAATCTGAATTTCCAATGAAGGCAGAGAAAACACATAGAATGTTCTGGGTCTGAGTGTAAAGTCAGAAACAGAGAAGAATCGAAGGGTTGCAAGCAGGGGTGGACTGCTGGGGGTTCGCAGGGGTTCGGGAAAGTTTTCGTCCTCCTGGAGGCTCAAGGAAATCCTCCGGAGCCTGGGGAGGGCAAAAATGCCCCCCCTCCCCTCCATGGTTCAGGAGGCTGACTAGGCCACGCCCACCATTTTTATTGTATCTATTGATTTGATTTGTCAAACGCTTACAATATAATAGAAATAAGAATAAACGTAAGTATAAATACATGAAATAGGTATGAATAATTGGGGACAATAGGACGGGGATGGTAGGCACGATGGTGCGCTTATGCACACCCCTTACAGACCTCTTAGGAATGGGGCGAGGTCGATGGATGTTAGTTTGAGGGTAAAGGAGTGGGGGTTTGAGCAGGTGACAACAGAGTCAGGTAGTGAGTTCCAGGCATTGACCGCTCTGTTGCTGAAATCATATTTCCTGTAATCAAGTTTGGAGTGGTTTACATTAAGTTTGTATCTGTTGTGTGCTCTTGTGTTGTTGTGGTTAAGCTGGAATATTCATTAACTGGTAAGATGTTGTAACACATGATTTTTATGTACTATGCTTAAGTCAATCTTAGCCGGCATAGTTCAAGATTATCTAAGCCTAGAAGCTCAAATCTGGTGGTGTAGGGTATTCTGTTGTGAACAGAGGAGTGTAGTACTCTTGTTGTAAAATACCTCTGGACTCGCTCAATTGTATTAATGTCTGGTATACAGTGTGGATTCTGACAGTGGAGCTGTATTCATGTATTGGTCTAGCAAAAGTTTTGAAACCCCTAGTTTGCAAATCAGTATTACCAGAGGAGAAGCTTCATAAGATTAGGTTTACAACTCTTAATGCCTTTTTGGCAATGCTGTTGCAGTGAGCTCTGGCGCTTAGGTCATTAGATATGAGTACTCCAAGGTCCTTGATAGAGTGAGGATCATCAACAAGATCCTATCCGCTTAGCTTGTATTTGCTGTATTTATTTATTTTTTAACCAATGTGCAGGACAGAACCATGGCCACGCCTACCCAACAACCGGGCAGAGAACCCCTTGCTAAAAAAAATTGAAGCCACCCCTGGTTGCAAGTATTTACTTCTTCTTGAGATAAGAGTTATGCATGCAGAAAATGGGTATGGCCAAAACTGGGACATATGTCTCTCTGTAGATTTGCAAGGCAAAGTGGCGATTCTATCCATCCGCTGGGAGGTTTTAACTTGGATCGATAAATATAAGAGTTAACGGTTATTTGGACAGAGGTTAATGCCATTTCAGCGATTGGAATCCTGAGATAAAGACAGAATTGAATGGATCTTTTGGGGAATTGTAATTTAGAAGGCATTTGGGGAAGCTCTCCTTTCTCCGTTTTCCATAATGTTGTTACACCGAAAGAATTAGTGACTGAGACACATGGATATTGATTCATCCATCCACATCCCAGAATAGATACGTTCTTTCTGCTGAAACTCTTTAAATCCCACATTTAGAGTAAATATTTGTGGTTAGCTGAGAAATGTATGACAGGATGAAAAAAAATATTGATCAAAAGGGACAGATGAATAGCGACTCTTGCAAGTGTATCAAAATAATCCTGGGATTTGAGGTGAAAGTAATTTTTATTGGGAAATAGCAGAGTCTTGTATTAATTAAGCCACATTCTCTGTAAGTGTGACTCAGAGCAAATTAATGTGCTGATGGAATATAACTGTACAAGGTTAAATAATATCTGTAGAACTGTTTTGATCTAGGACATTTCATCAGAATTGATTTATCTTGTAGGCTGGAGTTGTTCCTGTGTTCCGCTTGCTTGAATAATATCGGAGAGCATGTTTTCCTAATAAAATCTAATACATCAAGATCACTTGCAAGACGCTCTCAAATAGTGTTGCAAAATATTTTTAATTATTTCTGGATAAACACGATCATTATTGTACCTTATCAACCTTCTCCCTGGCTCTTCCTCTTCAGATACAAAGCAGAAAAGCTTGCAACGTAGATTAAAATCAATTAAGAACAATAACATCAAATTACAGATAATAGAAACAGAAGAACTCCATTTGACAGCCCTCCAATAAAAACAACTCTGTAACAAATTATAAAAAGGAAAAAAATAACCTAATGAAAATAACTAATCTCAGAGCAAAACCAGACTTGGAAAAATCACAAACGGGATTCATTCCACGCAATGTTTTCCTTAGAAGGTTAATTCTTGAATTGACTTTGATATGTAAATCACAGATGGGATTTCCTAAGGAGAAGGTTTCACAACAATGGTGTCATAACCAAAAAGGCCCTGTATTTATTTATTTATTTTTAAAAAAAGATCCATATCATGCTACCTATAGTCTACATTATAGCTCTGGTATTTCCTTCTGTTCCAAAAGCCAATGCAATCCTAGGCTGTATAAACAGAGGGATAGAATCAAGATCACATGAAGTGTTAATACCACTTTATAAGGCCTTGATAAGGTCACACTTGGTATCCTGCATCCAGTTTTGGTCACCACGATGTAAAAAAGATGTTGAGACTCTAGAAAGAGTACAGAGAAGAGCATCGAAGAAGATTAGGGGACTGGAGGCTAAAACATATAAAGAATTGGGTATGTCTAGTTTGAAGGAAAGAAGGACTAGGGGTGATGTTATAGCAGCCTTCCAATATCTCAGGGGCTGCCCCAAAGAAGAGGGAGTCAAGCTATTAAAGCACCTGAAGGCAGGACAAGAAGCAACAGATGGAAACTAATCAAGGAGACAAGCAACTTAGAACTAAGGAGAAAGTTTTCTGACAGTGAGAACATATTGGAACAACTTGCCTCCAAAAGTTGTGACTGCTCCAACACCGGAAGTTTTTAAAAAGCTGTTGGACAACCATTTGTCTGAAGTGGTGTAGGGTTTCCTGCCTAAGCAGGGGGTTGGACTAGAAGACCTCCAAGGTCCCTTCCAACTCTGTTATTCTACTCTACTTTACTCTACTCTACTCTACTCTACTCTACTCTACTCTACTCTACTCTACTCTACGATTCTATTCTATTCTATTCTATTCTATTCTATTCTATTCTTCCAACCAAGCCCAAAACAGGTTTAATTCTGATTAACATTTTAGAAATCAACTGTAATTAGTGAGATAGTACCACCTGCTACTATTCGTTCAGGGTCTTCTCCATCAAATGCATAAACTTTATTCCCCCTTGACTGGAACCAAGAATTTACTTGTTCAATTGTCCTTTGCTCTGTGCCAGGTTATTGTTTTGGAAACAGCCTGGACTTTGGGTCCCAATAACATGTCCTCTCCCTGTTCCTTGTCTTCCATTTTCTTCAGCTGTCTTCTGCCTTATTATTCGATGCAGTCTATGCTGTGGTCAGTGCGGTACAAGAGCTGAACCGGAGCCAGGAAATTGGTGTAAAACCCTTGTCTTGCGGATCTGCCCAAATCTGGCAACATGGCACCAGTTTGATGAACTACCTCAGAATGGTGAGAATGGATTGAGCACGGAGGATTTGGGAATGTGGGTTCCCACCTGTTCTCAGCATGAGATAGACAGGAGTCCTGCTTAGAAGTTTACCATAAAGAAAAAGGTTGTAGGAGGAGATCAGAAGGGCCCCTAGAAATCTGCATAAATATCTCCACTGAAGGTAACCATATCATCCCATGACAGTTTGTTCCATATCCCTCTAGAATAGGGATGTCAAACTCCAGGCCCGGGAGGCTGGATCCAGCCCATGGGGTGCTTAGATCTGGCCTGTGGGGCCACCTCCACAGAGGGAACAGCAAAGGACTGGCCCGTGATGCCTCTTCAAGTGAAAATGGAGCTCGCGACCCAAGTTCCATTTTCGCTGGCAGAGGATTGCAGGAGGCTGTCACAGCCTAAAACGGAGCTTGGTAGCCCATTTTTGCTGACCGAGAGCTTGGGCCCCCACAGGCGCCCCCAACCTGAGTGACGTCATGCTGGCCCCACCCATCCTGGCCCCTCATAGTCAAACACAACCCTGATGCGGCCCTCACTGAAATTAAGTTTGACACCTCTGCTCTAGAACAATGTTTTCTCACCCTTAACAACTTTGAGATGTGTGGACTTCAACTCCCAGAATCCCCTAGCCAGCATATTGAAGTCTAACATTTTAAAGTTGCCAGAACAACGTTCTAGAAGATGCCTCCTAGCATTAGTTACTCAAGTTACTCAAACCCGTGGAAGCCCCTCTTTGTCTTCTGCTCAGCTTGACCTTACTTACTTGAAGTAAGTCTCCCTGCCTCTTGCTTGCCATGGCTGGCACTTCTTCTGCATCTCTGCTTCCTCGACAAAAACACGGGCAGTGCCTACCTTAACACAGAGGTAGGCAGAACTGGAGGGGCAGAACATGTGCCAAGGAACCGTCACATAGTTAATGGTTTCAGTGGAAGAATCGGAACAAAGGATCAAGAAGACAACATCCATTGGTTGGACATAGGTTCGAGGACAGCAATGTCCAACCTTGGCAACTTTAAGACCTGTGGACTTCAACTCCCAGAAGTTGAAGTGGCTGGGTGTCAAGCCTGAATTTGGTTAGATGGTGGATTGGTTTACATCTGGGTTATACATATAAATTCTGTTTGACACACTTGGGAGCTGAAAGGAAGGAGAACTGAGGTGGATGGAGTTTCAGCCACAACAACATAGCTGGACGATGAGTCAGCCATGTTCCAAAGGCTGTCTGGCCAGAGGAAGGAGAATTCAACCAGGCAACCGTTTCACATCCCAGTTGGACAATGTGACATATTGTTTTGGAAAATTGAGAAAATCCTAGTTATAGTGATGTGGAAAGCAGGGAAACTTTCAGTACTGGCTTTCCACTAGTTAGTGCCAAGATGATATACCTTAATAAACTTGTTCTTTGAAGAATTGAAATGCCTTGGAGTTCATTTTATGGTGGTTGCATTACTTGGAACCTGGCACTGGGGAATTCTGGGAATTGAAATCCACAAGTCTTAAAGTTGCCACAGTTGGACACCTTGTTCTAGGGTGTTTGCTAACTTTGATCCCGAGAGTAAGACCTTCAAAGAATGTACTGTAAGTTTGCATTTTTTTAATGACAGTTCCTCATGCATCCATCATCTATTTGGCAGACCTTCTCCAAATCTCACATAGGCAACAAGCTAAGATGTTTTCAAGTTCCTAGTGGACCTGAATCTATGGTTGCTTGGCTGGGGGGACAATGTCCTTTTATTGGAAAGGATGTCTGTCAGTAAATACAAGTGCTATGCTGGCTTCATTGGGTCTTGGTTGGGGTTTGCCCTGCTGAATATGGCACAGGATATGACTTGTATCCATCTGCACAAAGGAGACTCTTTCTTATTTCGGCTTTGGATGATGGACTCGTCACTTGACATGTCCATCAGAAGTTCGGTTGTGGTTTTGCATTCTGCGGAAAAAATAAATCTCTCATAGAAATTGCTATGGTTCTATTTTCTCCTACATGGGATCTGTATTGCTGCAGAATCAATAATCTAATGCTTTGTCGACAATTAGCAGAGTGTGGTTATCTGTATTTACCAGACCTTTGCACCCTCATGCTTCATTTTCACATAACCCAATGTGACACCTGGGCTACCCAGCCATGTAATGGCTTCCCCTCAAGTCCCAGGCGAGGTGTTTGAATTGAGCACTCACTTTTGACAGTGCAATTCACAGCTACCGTGATGGGAACAAAGATCTCTGCAGAAGGTACAGAAAGAGGCAGACCAGCTGTTGAGGCCAGAAAGAAAGGGGGGCTTGGTCACCATCTTGTGACAATGCAGGCAGGGGTGGGCTTCAAATATTTTGGCAATGGGTTCTCTGCCTGGTTTCTGGGTGGGCGTGGCCTAGTCGGCCTCCTGCACTATGGCCAGGGGGGGGTATTTACCCTTCCAGGGCTTCGGAGTCTTTTTTTGAACCTCCAAGAAGGCAAAAATGGCTCTCTGGAAGCTGGAAACAGACCTGTTTCTGGCCTTCCCGAACTTCCAGGACGCCCATTTTTTGCCCTCCCCGAGTGCCCTGCACTTACCTGCATCCAAAATGGGCCATGTGGGGGACTCCTGGGAGATGAGTGGGGCCAGCCAGGAGTGGGATTGGGGGAGTTCTCCAAACTGCACAGAATCTTAGCTAGAGGCTCTCCTGAACCCCTGCGAACCGCCAGCAGCCCACCCCAGAATGCAGGTGGCCTAGACTTCCTGTCCTCTCAGCTGCTCACATTGGTGACTTGTCCAAAAACTTCCTTCCTGACTTGAAATTTCTCACCACTGTGAGCAGCAACAGATTTTTTTTTCCGGTAGTTTTTATAGAAACCGTAGAAACATAGAATTGCAGTCTTGTAGGATCGTAGGGCTGGAATGGACCTTATAGGTCCAAGATCTAAGGTGTTACATACGAGACTGTGTTTTCCTTTCTGGCTTGACATGACAAGCGTAGGGCCTCTGTCCTTCAGACTCAAGAGTTTCTATCTGGCGCTGCAACTCACCCTCTCTTGGACAGGTAGAATTGGAAGGTCTCACTGGCCACATAGAGTTCAACAGCAAAGGCCAACGATCAAACTATGCTCTGAAAATCCTGCAGTACACCAGGAATGGCTTCAGACAGGTAAATAAATACCTTTTTTTTTTTTAGCTTTTACCCTTTGTACTCTGGGTTCAGCACTACCTGTTTCTTTGTGTTGTGACTTTCGTTCTTGATGTCACGGTTCCTTTAAAAATGTCCTTTGTCTTGTTGGCTGTCACTTTATGCTGATTATGAGTTTGGAAACTCCTTTCTTGGTCTAACTCATTTGGTTCTTCTGTTGCTAAAATATTCAAGATAACTTTTTTGGGGGGTGAATTTTATCCTGGTGGAAAGAGTGCCAGATACAGATATTGTCTTTGCAAATAATGTATACCTGTGGGAGATACGAGACACAAAAGGAGCAGAATAAGAACCAGCTTTCACCTGGCATCTTTCAGGACAGCTTCAGATCTGTCAGGGAGCTACAAATGGGAGGAAAAGTGGAACCAGGCGTCCTGCGTATAAGGCAGCTTTAGAGCAATTTCCAGTTTGAAGCGATTGTGGCATCTTTGCAGCCTTAAAATGACTTCCTTTCAAAAGTCTCTCGGCGACTTCACCGAGCAATTCCAGTTCAAATTAAATAAAGATTTCGTTCTGTTGCTCGGGAAGTTGCTCGCTCCGCTGACCCATGGCCAGATTGAGCTGAATTTAACAGGCTCTTTCAACTCCGCTTAAAATGGAGGAAGGGCTCAACCGCTGTCTGACCAGCTTCCGTCCTTCTGTGGCAAAGCCAAGCTCTGTAAAGAGTCAGACTACAGAAGAATAGAGTTGGAAGGGACCTTGGAGGTCATCCAGTCCAACCCCTTGCTCAAGCAGGAGACCCTGTAGCATTCTGAGCAAATGGCTGTCCAATCTCTTCTTAAAAACCTCCAGTGATGGAGCAACCACAACTTCGAGAGGCAAGTTGTTTCACTGATTAATTGTTCTTACTATCAAGAAATTTCTCCTTAGTTCTAGGTTGGATCTCTCCTTGATAAGTTTCCATCCATTGCCTCTTGTCTTGGTTGGTTTGCGGTGTCATAAAGGAATGTATGGCCCATGTCTCTAAGCTGACTTCTTTTTTTCCAGTAGAGTAGAGTAGAGTAGAGTAGAGTAGAGTAGAGTAGAGTAGAGTAGAGTAGAGTAGAGTAGAGTAGAGTAGAG